ATGCCCCTGTGGTTAGGTTTTTAAAGATGTCCTTATCTTCTAGAAATTAATGCTAAGGTATTTTATGGATTAAATGGTATAATTTCTGAGAGTTTCCAAAATAACACACAGAGAGAGTAGATGGGGTAGAAGGGAAACAAAATTGATCATGACTGATAATTGCCGCATCTGAGTAATAGGTCCGTGGGGGTTCACTGTTTTGTTTCTCAACTTGTGTGCATGTTTGAAATTTCCCATAATAAAAAGTTTTTTAAATATATCCAGAGCAGGAAAAAAGACTACCTTTGCACAAAGGTGCACCCAAGTAGCAGAAGGAAATGTTAGAGGAGTCTGGCTTGATCCGTCAAGGAATAAAGAGGGTCTACAAAATAAGCGCCTAAAACAGAAAGACCCAATAAAAGAACAAGGTGAGATGGACAATGTTTAAAAACCAGAAATAAATAGGTTATTTAGTTATTTAGTTATTTATTTTTAGAAAGAGAACGCAAGCGAGTGCACAAGCAGGGGAGGGGCAGAGAGAGAAGGAGAGAGAATCCCAAGCAGGTTCTGCATTGTCAGCACAGAGCCCAATGCAAGGGCTTGAACCCATGAACCGTGAGATCGTGACCTGAGCCGAAATCAAGAGTCAGCCGCTTAACCAGCTGAGCTATGCAAGCACCCCTAGAGGCAAAGATTTTTAAAAAACACTTACCCAGACCCATTTAATGCTTTTTGCCAGGATCTCTCTCGTGAATTTTTTTTGTTCGTTACTTACTTAGCTCTAGTTGCTGTAACAAACTACTGTAAATTGGGTGGCTTCTCAACAGCAATGTATTTCTCACAGTTCTGGAGGCTGGAAGTCGGAGAGAGCATGGTGCCAGTAAGGTCGAGTTCTGGTGAGAGGCATCTTAGGGTTCATATGGCTGACTTCTCCTTGTACCCTCCTATGGGGGAAAGAGAGATAGTTAACTCTCTGGCCTCTTCTTATAAAGGCACTAATCCCACTCATAAAGCCTCTATTCTCATGCCCTAATTACCTCCCAAAGGCCCCCGCGTCCAAGTACCATCACACTGGGAATGAAATTTCAACATACAAACTTGAGGGAACACAGACATTCAGGCTAGAACACTAATGTTGCAACTTCTGCTTTTTTGGTCATATTTTCATTTGTGTATCCTGTACATTCAATTGTTGGGGGCCAACTTGTGTCAGGTGACCAGCAGCTTATTGTTTTTGTTGTTTGATCTAGCCTTTGTGTATTATGAGAATGTTGTGTCCATTTCCACAGCAATGTTTTCATTATTAGTGAAAAAGAGGTGCCTGTGTGGCTCAGTCGGTTAAGCATCCGACTTCAGCTCAAGTCATGATCTCACAGTTCTTGCATTCAAGCCCCACATCAGGCTCTGTGCTGACAGCTCAGAGCCTGGAGCCTGTTTCAGATTTGGTGTCTCCCTCTGTCTCTGCCCCTCCCCCTGCTTGCACTCTGTGTGTGTGTCTCTTTCTCAAAAATAAACAAACATTAAAAAAATTTTTTTAATTGAAAAAAAGGAAGTGAAAAAAGTAGTCTACAGAATAGTTTAAGAAATAATATGGGAAAAGGAAAATCAGTACAGATATATACCATCAGGTTAGTTGCCTTTGTTTGTGTTTTAGGATTATGGGTTTTATTTATTTATTTGTTTGTTTGTTTGTTTATGTGTGTGCACCTGTCAGTATTTTCCCCATAATTAGCATATATTACAAGCTACAATGAAAATAAGTTTTTTTTTAAAGTAAAAATTAACAAAATGCGCTTTCTCAGGAAGAAAAGAGAGCAAAGGAAAAAATATGTTGAGAACATTAGTAAGACCTTAGAAGATTTTATTAGCATATGATGTCCAGTACATATTGGGAAGCAGATAAAGCCTGTCCAAGCCTGACTGAGAAACTTTGCAAAGACTTTGTTCCAGCTTTTTAAAAAAGTTTATTTATTTTGAGAGAGAGAGAGAGAACAAGCAGGGAAGGGGCAGAGAGAGAGAAAGAGAGAGAGAGAGAGAGAGAGAGAGAATCCCAAGCAGTGAGGAGGCCGACGCAGGGCTCAAACTCCCAAACCTGTGAGATCATGACCTGAGCTGAAACCAAGAGCCAGCCGCTTAACCAACTGAGTCACCCAGGCGCCCCTGCAAACATTTTATAAGCTCCTGACACAGGAGGAGAGGTTCTCGCTCCAGGCTTATCCAGGGACTTTGTTTCCTTTGCTGTTTCATATAGGCTGTGGCCAGGATCCTCGGTGCCTCTGGTGAAACATCAAATATGTTAATGTACTTGGATTTGATATACTGGGTATGAGAGACATACATGATCCTTGTACACAGAAGGGAAGTGTGCTGACTCAGAAGTCCAGAGGCAGGCTGTTCGGCAGGAATGGCCTGTCCGTGCTGTCGAGTGTTGACAACGTCTTTCCAGCCATGAGTAATGGGACAGGGAGTAGGATTGAAAGTTTTCTGCCTCTTTCAAGTTCACTTCAAAATCGGTAATAATATTAGACGTCCAAGTGATTACTGGTATTATTCCTCCTGGGTAGGCTGATTATAGTGGTCAGTGATGATGGAAGTGAGAAAGGTTTGCTTGAGTTGGAGTACGTTCAGAAGGCTACCTCCCAGGCTCAGAGGGCCTCTCCTCTAGTCTTCAGGTTTTCAGTGGCTGATTCAGACTGAGTTAGAAATACAGAGACGGAGCCCAGGCCTAGGCCTCCACACATTCATTCTTGGCCAGCAAGGCCCCAAGCAGGCCCCACAGCGAGAATCAACACACAGTAGATGACCAGGTACTGGCCGTCTTCCAGGCTGCCAGGTGCCCTGAGAAAGGTCTTAGAGCCAGGGTGCTTGGTTCCACGTGAGGTTGTGTTGTCCAAGCATCCCCAAAGAGCTCGGTTTCTCCCGTAGCTTTTCCCTCTGTCCTCACTGCCTTCTGCATCCCTTCTGACTTTGCCCCACCACCCCCACCCCCGAAAGCCTGCACCATGGCCTGCCCACTCCTTGGGCTTTCCCAAGAGAAGTGAAATGTTCTTTTCCCTTCTCAACTCAGCATCACTTCATCCTTCCTTCTCCCCCTGTTTCCCCCCCATCTTTCCTCCAGGCCCACATCACCACCCCCCTTGTGTTTAGTGTCCCTCCCTCACCTCCTGAGGAGCTTAGCCTTCCCTCCTGGTCTCTGCCAGCAGAGGTGCTCAGGCTCCTACCTGTCTGAGGCCTCCACTCAGCCCTGCCTCTCAGCCATGGGACGCTCCCATTTTGCTCTTCTCGACCAAACGTCTGTCTCCTGCGGCTCTTCTCCGTCTTCACTGTGAATTCTCCCTCCTCACCCTGGGTAGTCCACCTCCCAGGATTCTCTCCAAAACTCTTGTCTCCATGCACTGGCTGTCTTCGGGTATCTTTCTGCTCACGTGGCCAGTGTGTCATCTCCGTGTTCCCAGACCGCAGGAACAGCATGGGCTGCAGCGACTGGTGGGGTGCATGCCTGGGTCGCCTGCTAGAGAGCTTCTGGCGTGCTGCAGTTCCATCCAGGGCAAGTGGATCTTGCCTCTCCACCCCTATGGCTGGCCACATAGAGACTGCCCCTTCGAACTCAGGCTCCACTGGACAAGCTATGTCAGCAGCTACCCACTGACCGGGGGCAGGGAGGGTGTGCTGGAGTGTCAAGGTCCTCCCGGCAGATCCGTTGCCAAGACAGATGTACTGAAGAGCCAGTCCATACCCCAGCTTATTGCATTTGGGGATCCTCAACAGCCCTGTTGTATTCCAGGTTCTCCAAGCCAGCACCCATGTTCCTGGATGACTCTTTCCGCAAGTGGGCTAGGATTCGGGAATTTGTGCCGCCTTTTGGGATCAAAGGTCAAGGTACGTTGGGAACCCTGGCCCACTCTACATTAACATCTCATCCCTCAGCCTGTCTCCTTGCACTCAGGATAGGGCTGTACCCTCAGAAGTCCCCATGCTGGGGATCCACCCCTCTCCTTCCATTTTTCCCTTCCTTTCTTTTTCTTGCTTCACTCTTCGTTTACTCAGAGCCCACCACTTGGCCAGGGCCAGGTATACAACAGTGGAATGGACAGTACCATCCTTCTCCATAAAAAAGCTCCAGTCTGGTAGAGACACAGATACTAAGAGCGCAGGACAGTAATGGCTCTGAAGGGGGAAGAGATCACAGGAAAGGACGTCAGGGAGATCCATCCCGGAGGATCAGGTACAAGGGGGAAATCCCTGAGAAGACAGAGGCCATCCTCCAGGAAGTCGCCCAGGCTCCTCCATCATCCCCTCTTTACCCCGGTCTCCCTTTCAGTTCTTTCTTACCCTGTCCAAGGCTGACGTCCCCCCAGTGCCCTCAGAACTGTCCCCTTCCATTGCCTTAGGGACTTCGCTCATGCAATTCCCTCCTGACTTTCCCACCTCTGACCGTTTAGTGGTTCTGATGCCTTGTCAAGTTCCTGTACTATTTCATGGCATGGTTGAGTTTGGGCTTTAGGATCAGACATTCAAGGATCAGATCTCAGTACTACTTCTTTATCAGCTGTGACTTCGGACAGGTTACTTCACCTGTCTGTGCTTTAATTTCTTCCTCAGTTAAATGGAGAAAATAATACTATTGTATTAGGTTGTGGTCAGAATTAAATAAGATAACTGTTGAAGGGATGATATCATTTGGCCAGGGGACTTAAAAATACCTGAGTCCTCTACTCAGCCAGTCCACACCTTCCTGAAAAGAAGACAGTGACCAGCAGGAGGACACTCTAGAATGGGAGTATTGACCTCAGATCCCCAAGGGCAAATCTAATGGGTAGGGCTGAACCATGTGAAGAACTCCTTTTTGCTGGGTACAGGTAGCTAAGCAGCCTACTTTTCTCCCAAATCCTCACTCAAGACTCCAATCCTACAAAGCTATGAAGGCCTGGAAAGGCTGGTCCATAGCCCATCGGCCAGCAACAAGAGAGCACCTGCTAATTTATACCCTTTCTGCTAAGGTCCCCTCCTAGAAAACAAAAACCCAAGCCATACCTTGACCTTGGGCAATTAGTAGCAATATGCTTTTCCTTAGAGGTCACATGGGAAGTGGGAAAAGGAGGGTGTCTGTGGCCTTCCCTGAAGCCCTCCATAAGGTACATCTGAAGGCACTTAGTATAGAACACTCCTTAAAGGTTCATTTCCTTACCCATTCTCCTTCACCTCCTGGGACGATTAACTGTGCTCACTGCTTCTTTCTCACCCTTTACTCTGGAGCACTGTCTTCTCCTCCATCATTCCAGTGAAACTGCTCAGTGCCCCCGGGAAATCCAAAGGATACTGTTCAGTTCCTAACTTGACCTCTTGGCTGCATCTGACAGTGTTGTCCACCCCATCTTTTAAAAAAAAATTATGGAATTGTTTTCTTTAAGTCAGGAGGCATCCTTTCTTTACATGGAATATTTCAGGCATATAGAAAAGAATAAAGGTGAATACATTGCAATGTGTACCCAGCTTAAGAAATAAAACAGGAGATACAATTAAAGCTCTGTGTATCCCTTCCCATTCCATTCTCCTCCTTCTCCAGGAGACCGTCATCCTGGTTTGGGGGTTATCGTTTCAATGCCTCTTTATCTATTTTTGTGACATATTTATATATCCATTGAAAATCTGATATCGTTTTTGCATGTTTTTACACTTTACAAATAATACTGTGTGTGTGTGTGTGTGTGTGTGTGTGTGTGTGTTTCAAATTGACTTTTTTGCTTATGCTTTACAGGCATATCTGTATGAGTACCCAAAGCCAAAGGTCACTGGTTTATGTATTTTTACTGCTGGGTAGTATTCTGTGTACCATGTTTAATCTGTTTTCCTTTGTCGGGCTTTTCAGTTGCTTCCCACATTTTGCTATTACAAACAGTTCTGCAGTGAACCTTCTCGTACAGGTTTCCTTAAACAAATGAGCGAGTGTTCTGATGCTATCTACCTAGGAGGAGAGCTGCAAGATCTTAGTCTGTGCACATCTGCATCTTGCTTAATGTTATTAAGATGGTCTTCACCACGGTTGTACCGATTTACTTACTTTATCTTTAGATCTCTGTGCACATTATCTTTTTATCTTCCTAATGACTCTGCAGAGTAGGAATTACCATCTTCGTTTGAAAGATGGGGAACTAAAGCACACAGAAAGTAAGTGATTTATCTAAGGTCACGGAGCCCTGAAGTAGCACAAGCCAGGATTGGACTCCAAAGCCAGTATCATTATACAGTATATTATAATGTTCTCATTATGCTAGAGTTTGAAAGGAGAGCAATGACCATGGCCAAAGCCAGTGAGAGGCCAAGAAGAATGAGATCTGAATAGTGGTCACAGGATCTGAGAACACAGAGGTCCTGGGCCCTTGCTGGGGGCAGCCTGAGTGGAGTGCAGATGGGCAGATGTCAGGCCTCAGAGGTTGAAGAGGGAAGATAAGTAGGAAGAGACAGCCCGCCAAGACCAAGGTTGGAGATGGGCAGTACTGGGGGGAGAAGTGAGGGGAAGACCATATCAGAGGGTGAGGCAAAGGGGTCTGAGTCGGGAGCTGGCTGGGCACACTTGAGCTCTTCAGCGTTGGTGGTCTCCTCATTTGCTCTCTGGTGTCTGCTCAGTCAGGGCACAGAGGTGAGTCCAGCGTGTACTCTGTCTCTGAGCAGGTCCTGGGCCTGGGGATGTCCTGGGACCTGACTGCAGAGCCTTTGAAAGCCAGAGGAGACTTCCCAGGAAGGGCTGGGGAGTCCTGAGGGGAGGAACTGCATGCCAGCGCTGGGGACCGGCTCCAGGCAGAGCTGAGTGTCCCTGCCTGTACCCCTGCCTCCATCTTGTTCATCAGGGAGAAAGCTAGGCGAGTGGCCCAGCCCAACCTTGTGCCCAGAGTCCCGTCTCCCCACCTTCCTATCCACCTCCAACCTACGCAGTAGCGTGTGCTTCCAACGTCATTCACAAACACTTCATGGGGACGTCAGTGACCCTCTAACAATAACCTCCCTCCTCTGTCCACAGACAATCTGATCAAAGCCATCCTGTCAGTCACCAAAGAGTACCGCCTGACCCCTGCCTTGGACAGGTGAGCCACTTGCTACCCAGCCTCCTGCCCTCAGTTGCCTGGCATGTGCAGAGGTGTTGAGGTCCAGCCAGACTTCCCTGGGTATCGTGTCCTCACATGCAGGCACAGCACATGTGCTGGGGGTGGTGAGCAGATAAGCGAGGCCCTCCAGCGGGCCTGCACCCCATGGACTGAAAGCACTTGGCAAGATATTTCAGTCCTCAGCCATCAGAGGTCTGAGGGCCTGGGTGGCGGTGGTAGCGGAAGATGCCATGGCTTAAATGCAGGGGGCGGTGACAGTGCTGAAGCCAGTGGGCCCTGGGTGAGGGAAGCCCCGGGTGGGGGAAGCAAAATGCATAGGGCTCTCTGGTGGCTACTGGAAGCATGGGGGCTTCTGAGTTGAAAATAAGCCCAGCCATGGGTCCTGGTGCCCCCAGGCCTGTCCTCTCTGCTTGCTTTTCTGGCACAGCCTTCAAACTCAGCACACTTTGCCCTCTCTCCTGAACTCCACTAACCCTTGGGGGATCTTTAGCCTAGAAGGCCATCTTACCAGAGGCTCCTTCCTCACCACCCCAGAACTAGTGCCCTTGCCCCTTCCACACCCACGCTTTCCTGGAGAGTATCTGGGACTAGGTATGTCAGAGAATCGCGAGTGACCTAACTACCCACAGTATGCCTTTTGGCCTCAGAATGCTGCTCTTCCCCCATTCCAGCCTGCACACGGCCAAAAGCATGGGGCTAAGGGCCAAAGGGGTAGGGAGAAGGAGACCTAGCGGACAGCTCTTCAGAGATCTCTGCCTCTCTCCCCTCAGCCTCAGCTGTCGCCGCTGCATCATCGTGGGCAATGGAGGTGTCCTTGCCAACAAGTCTCTGGGGTCACGCATTGATGACTATGACATTGTGGTCAGGTGAGCTCCCCAAAGCAGTGCCTCAGGCACCTGAGTGTCCTGGCCCGAACCCTGGTCCCTGAGTCCATTGAGAACCATCTGGCCATCTGGCCAGTTGGGCTAAGGTCAGCTGAAGCCTCAAGAAGGACCCTGGCTTGAAGGGCTCCAAAAGCTAGGTGGCTCCAGGTGACCTGGCTCCCCATTCTCTGCCCCTGGGGAATTCCGGGGTCATAGTACCTCCCAAACACCAGCCCACAGACTACATGCAGTGAGCTCAAGGCAGGCTCTGACTGGGCCTGCTCTCTGTAGACTGAACTCAGCACCCGTGAAAGGCTTTGAAAAGGACGTGGGCAGCAAAACTACACTGCGCATCACCTACCCTGAGGGCGCCATGCAGCGGCCCGAACAATACGAACGTGATTCTCTCTTTGTCCTCGCTGGCTTCAAGTGGCAGGACTTCAAGTGGTTGAAGTACATTGTCTACAAGGAGAGAGTGGTAAGCTCCCATACGCCAGCTCCTTCCCCTTTTGCCCTGGCCTTGCCTGGCTTCCAGGTCAGCCTGTGAGTTCTTTCTCAGCCAGACTCAGAGCCCCTCTCCAGCATTCCCTGCAGGCCCTTCCCTGGCCTTAGGACCCCCTGGAAGGAACGCTTTTTTCTGGCTAGCCCCAGCATCACTCCTAATATTCATCCTCTCCTGCCCTGCCCTGCCCTGCCCTTGTAGTGGCCTCCCCAAGCCCCCTCACACTCTGACTCTCATTCCCAGCCAAGGGAGGAAGGCCTTATTTGGACCCTGGGGCCATTCTGCAGGGACAGCAGACCCCTCAGTGAGCTTGAGGGTGCCAGTTCCCAAGCCCATAAGTCCCACCTCTCTCTGCTTTGTACTTGTACCGCTGACCTGCAGTTAGATCCCCAGCTGCCACTGAGTCTGGTTCTACTCCAGGAATGATCAGATTCTGTACTCCTTGTCCTAGGCAGACTAGGCCCCAGGCCCGTTTCTCTAGGGGATTGTGTGGCCAAGTAGGGTGACTGCTTCTTTTGGTGGACCACCCACGGAATCCCCTCCTGAGTCCTCCATTCACAGCTCGGGGCCTACAGGGATGCCTGCCAACTTGTCCAGGCCCGTTCCCCCCTCTCCCCTCAACCGGCTATCACCAGCCACCCCAGGGGAGGAGTACTGCAGAGTTCAGGCCATTCGTCTTCCAATACCCAAGCCTCTTATGCGAGGAGAATGTTGACAGATGGCCTCCGCATACAGTAAGAAGCTAGTTGTTCTTTCTGGAGGTTTAGAGGCAAGTTGGGAGGTGGGAACAGCTTAACCTTCCTATGGAGGTCTCAGTGCAATTTGGTTTAACTCCACAGCCCTTTCCCAAGCAAGGCCAAGTGCAGGCAGTGTCAAGTAGGTAGCAAGCGAGAGAGAAGACAGAAGTCAGGTCCAGAAATTCAGGTAGGTGGGACAGTGGGGAAGGGGAAGCTGAATGAGACAGGCAGGCTCCCCTGGGTTTAGCCTGGCTCCCCAAAGGGGAGGAAGGGGTTGGCTTCAGCCGGCTCCAGCTCCAAGAAGGCCCACTGCCCATGCAAACCAGGCAGAGAATGGGGCTGAAGGAGCACCCCTCTGTTTTTAGAACCATGGCCTGGATATTAGTGTCCTGAGAGCCCTTCTCTTTGCCTTGAAGGCAACAGAATTGGGGTCACAGGTAGGCACTTCTAAAGGGAAACGGGAGGGAATCGGTCCACCTTGGTGAACTCCAGGGCAGCTGGGGGCTGCTTTCCCACCCTGGCCTCTGACCATCTGCCCACCCCCTCCTGGCACATCCTTTCCTCTGCCCATGGACACGTCACAGGAGCTCCTGGAGGGCAGGGCCCTGATCCCACTGGCTTTTTTTTTAACCCCTCAATGCCCAGTCATCATAAATGATCTGGAATCGGCTCAAATACCAGATCCTGCTTCCTGCTGAGCAGACCAGGAGGCCAGGCCAAGGAGGTGGGTCAGGGCAGCCAGGTGGGTTGTTTTTACATGTTCCTTCCGAGAACAACAGGTCAGTTAATTCAAGGCTTTTATAGTTCATCCACGGAAGTAAGGAAAGAAAGAAGAAAAGGAAGGCAGCCAATTAGAGACTCACTGTACTGTAGCCACTTAGGGCCTCACTGTTCCCAGGAAGACTGAGGAGCTTACCCCCTTGCCTGGCCCAGGCTGCAGTCTGATCGAAGATACTAGAGCAGTTGGGATGAGGAAGTGTGGGCTGTGCTCAGGCACATGGTCACTCTGCTGGATGTCTGTGTCCTGACCTGGCCTGGCCGTGCCTGGAGATGTAGGACTGGCCTTGTGTTAGTGAGAACTCATTCCCAGGGTTGGTAGGGGTGAGTGAGAAGAGAGAAGGGACAGGGAGGAGTCCTTTGAAGTTCTGTGATCCTTCCCTGGCTCCAAAGTCAAAGATAATTTGGGCCTTTAGAGTGAGCTGCCAGAGGAGGCCAGCAGTGCCCATGGCTTCATCCGCCCTAGCACTTCCTGGTGACCCAAGAAGCCTGTCCTTTAGAACCCGTCCCTACTCCAAGCCCAGGGCCGATGAGTTCACAGGACCTCTCCCACACGCTACTCCACTTCTCTGGCATCCGAGACCCAGGTAAATGTGGGAGAGGCTGCTTCTCCAGGGCCTCCCCATCTGGTGCCAACCACAGGCTTGTCCTGCTCCTGAAGCAATGTTTCCAGCCATGCAGCTTCTGGGCTACTGGGGAACTCTCTGCACCTGCCGGGAGCCTCACCTGTAGAATTCTGGCAGGAGGCAGCTCTGCATTTGGGAGCCAAGGCCTGGCTGGGCAGTGCTGGAACAAGTGTCAGGCCTCGGTCATGGCTGCTGCCTGCCTCTTGCTATGTGAACAAGTTGCTCAGTGGGTGGAACTTTCTGGTACCCAGGAGTCATGATGGGGTCTGGAGAGAGGAAAGACCGGAAAGGAAGACTGGACAACCCAGAAGACAGCCTGTGCTAAAGCTGGCCATACTGTCTTCATCCATATGGGAACTTTTCTTGTCACCGTTTGTGGCCATTTAGTTCCCTCATTCACTGGACAGTTGCACTACAAGTTCCAGACAAGTTACCACAAGGCTCGTTATCTCCCAGCCCGCAGGAGCCCTGAGCCAGCCAGCAAGCTTGGAGGAGTTCCCATCAGGCCATGCTCAGGGCAGCTCAGAGGAGCACCAGTGGACTGTTGAGTGGGGAAGATGAGGTCCGGAGACACGGAGGTGCAGGTGTATGTCAGGCCATGGTGGGACAGGGCAGCCTCCAGCTCTTGTGAAATGTTCAGAGGCACATCTCACTCCATCTCGCCACGCGCTCATTTGCCAGGCGTCACTGAGGTGTCCTGTGTGCTGACACCATGCTGCTCCCTGTCTCTCACGGTCTAGTGGGAACAGGCCCGAAACTAGAGTTGTAATGCGATGTAGTAGGTGCTGTCACTGAGCACCCTCCTGATGCTTGATGAAGGCTGGAGGTGCTCCGTCCATTGTCTGTGGGGTCTGGAGAGGACAGGGCCTGTGAGAGGCAGTCACTCAGGCCCCATTCTTCCCGCCTCCACCAGCCTCCCCTTCCCATGCCCCAGAATGCCCGGTAACCCAGAAAGGAACTGCCTTCCTAATCCCCTTGGCCACCTCCTCCCCGTCCCCCTCCTCAGTCCTGAAACTGGAAAGCTGGCCTCATTGCTGCGGGGCCTCTGACTGGTTGTCAGTTCAGCGAGGCCCTGAGACCTAGGTAGGGCTGGAATGGGTGTGGTTCCAGCCCAGGAGGGGGACAGAGGATGGGCTAGGGGGTTGGCCCCTGGACAGCCTGGACACAGGCCCAACCTCCCAGCTGTAGCTCAGGCCTTGGGAAGGGGGGAGGGGCCTAAGGCCAGCCAGGGTCCCGCATTCATGCACAAGAGAGGACTGGGCTCCAGAATTTGGGAAGACAACATGGCTTAAGAGGGGAAAGCAGATCAGGCCTTGGAGTCATATAGACTTGGGTTTAAATTTAGATCCTTAGGCAAAGGATTAGCTGGGTTACCTTAGGCAAATTACCCAGGCCCCTTAGATTTAGTCTTATCCATAAAACAGGAGTAATCCTTCCCATTGTTCGGGGTTGTTTTAAATATTAAACCAGATGAAATATAGAAGCACCTGACCTGGAGCTCGACACTTAGCAAGTGCTATCTGTAGCAATGATTAATGCTACTTCTATCTATCTATCTATCTATCTATCTATCTATCTATTAATTATTGGTGCCAGTAGAAAAGCCCAGTTGCACTAGGGAATGAAGCATTGTCTGTCTAGGCTGTAGGGTCTGACCTAGGAGATGACCTAAAGCAGGGGTCAGAGCCCAGGCCTTGAGGCAGGAGACGCAGGGCCTCCTGGGAGAGACAGCAGGGGTGGGCTAATAGTCTAGGAAATCCACAGGGCAAACAGGGCCACCAGGTCCCTGCCTATGAGGCCGTATCGGACCGGGCCCGAGATGGGGACTGAATGTCCATCTGCACCTAAGCCTGTATGCCGTTCCAGACCCGGGAGGGATGCCGAGCCTTAGGAGCTCAGTGTGGACATCACCTCACGTCAGGGGCGACTCTGCACAGGGCACCTGGAAAGGGTGCTGAGGCTGGCACGCAGCGTGGCTTCCTCCTGCTGTGACTAGGCTTCTGCTGAACCAGCAACCATCTCCCCGCCAGGCCTCAGAGACAAGCTCTCCTGGGACACTGTTTCCTTTGCAGCCAGCTCTGGTGGCTCATTCCTCTTCTGCCCTGAGGGCCAGGAGGCCTCCATGCTCGGCCCCTCGGCCACATGCTAACTGCTACTCCTCTGCGCGCAGACAGAAAGTGCTGAGGGATTGGGGTTCATGCCGTCTCACCCCCTGCTCCTCTCGTCACTGTCATCGGTGACCTCTTGGTTACTGAGCCTCATAATCAGTATGATCACTGTGCCACCTTCTCTTCTCCCATCTTCCTGCCTCTCTCCTCGTCCTCCTTCCTCCTCTTCCTCTGCCTCCTCCGGCTTCCGCCACCCTTGTCACAGCTGTCACGTGTTACGCTCTCCAGTTTGCCAGCCTCCTTTGAATTTATTCTCGTAACAATCCTATTAGATCAGTTCTGTTACTGCCCCCATTTGGGGGATTGGGAAACTGAGGCACAGGGAGGATGAGTTGCTTGCTCCAGCTCATACAGCTAGCTGAGTGGGAGAACTGAAGTCATACCCAGCTCCGACTGCTTCAGGGGTCTTCCTAAGAAATAAGCTCAGCCACATCGCCCTGCTGCATAGAATCCTCCATCAATCAGCTCCCACCTGTCACGGCCCATGAGAATAAGAGCTGCCGTTTACTGAGCTCTTCCACACCCCAGGCTCTGGGCCACACGATTTACAAGCAGTGCATCAGCCAGACATGTCAACAACCCTACAAGGCCAGGCGACAAGTAATAGTAAGTGGGAGGGTTGCATTTGGAGGTATCTTGTGTAACCATAACATGTAACACCTCTCATTCATTCATTCATTCATTCGGCCAATTCCAATCAATCACCAAAATCACACGCAGCCCCAGGCTTCATGTGCTGTCTCCCTGGCCTGACAACTCCCCCTCCCCACGACTATCTCGTCCAGCCAGTCCACTGCCAGGGAGTCCCCATGGAGAGAAACTTGAGCTGACATAGTGGTGTTACCTTACCGGCGTCTTTTTTTAAAAGTTTATTTATTTGTTTTGAGAGAGCACAAGTTGGGGAGGGGCCGAGAGGGAGGGAGAGAGAGAATCCCAAGCAGGCTCCACGCTGTCTGTGTAGAGCCCGATGCAGAGCTCGAACTCACGAACTGTGAGATCATGACCTGAGCCGAAGTTGGCTGCTTAACTGACTGAGCCACCCACCTTACCAGCATCTTGATGCCACTTGCCACCCCTGTGTCCTGTCCCTGGCTGTCGTTCCTCTCGGAGCCTACTCACCACCGTCTTCAGTTCCACTACACCTCCATCCCTGTCCTAAGCCAAAGTCTCACACCCTACTCCACAGGGAGAATAAAGGTGGTCAGCAATCAAGAACTCTGGACTTCCCAGCCTCCAGTGTATGAAGTTACCTGCCTCCCCATCCATCCCGGCTTCCCTCACTATGCTTTCTGTGCCTCTCGCATCCAAGGTCACTTTTCTCCCAGGTTCTGGATGCCGTCTTGTCCCGCCTCCCCAGGAACTATCTTCCTTTACTTCTTTTCTCACTTCTTACTGGATCCTCCTCTCACACACGTAATTTTGTTCAGGTCTCTCTCACCTTAAAAGTGAAAGCCCTCTTTGCTTTGTGTTCCTCCTCTGTCTTTCCTTCCTTTTCAGGTTTCCAGAAAGAGTCATTACCTCTCCACGATGCCTGTCCATGTCTTCCCCTTCTATTTCCCCACCGTCTCCAGTCCAGCTTCCAGACCTGTCTCTCTGCTGGCAGCGACCTGATTCCAAATCCAGTGGACTCAACCCCTGCCTCCCTTTAAAGGAACAACTTGTCAGCAGATACCCAGCGAGCATTTGCTGTGAACCGGGCACAGTACCGAGTTGCGGGGATAGTCCCTGGTCTTACAGGCTCGTGGCCAAACTCCTGGGAGGCATGCTTCATTCCTCCTTCTCCTTTGCCTTCTGTATTCATTCAGTCTCCAAATCTGGGATTTCCCCCCTTTAAAAATAACCTCACTTGCCTTATTTCAGCAGCTTCCTATCTCCCTGCCTTCAGTCCAGTCACCCTCCAGTCTGTTCTCCAAATCTGTGTCCAAAAGAATCCTCCTCAAGTGTCCCTCTGGTTGGTTCCTTCTCCTGCTTAATGGTTCCCTTTGCCTACATGTTGCCACCCTCAAAGGGCCTTCTTATGCCCACACGTGGGTATCACCTAGAAACTTGTCCGAAATGCATTTGGAGCCCCACCTTTGGCCTGGTGAATGAGAACCTCTGGGGGCGGGCCCAGCCGTCTGTTGTAATGAGCCCTCCAGGAGGTTTGGATACAGGCTCAGCTGTGAGAACCACTGGCCTACAGGATAAAACCAGGCTCTGTGGCATAGCGCCCATGACCTGGCCCCTGCCGACCCGTTCCTTGTCCTTGCCCCTCTTTCTTGCACCCAACATACACCCTCCACTCTGGCTGTGCCGGAATAGAGAGATCCTATATCCCACCTCCTCGCCTCACCTGCTCCCCTTCGTGAGGCTGTCATAGATGCCTCTCTTCAGAGTCCCCACCGAAACACTCCTCCCTCTGTTACGCCTGAGGGGTCACTGCCCTGCCAACTCTTACAAGCCCCCAGAGGACCGGGACCACGGGGTTTGTCTCTGTAAGTCCATCGCCTCCAGCAATGTCTTAAACACAGTTGGCCACACATAAATGAATAAATACATGTGGAAACTGAGGCCCAGAGTAAGGCAGGAACCTCTGGAAGAGTCAGGATTCCAACCCAAGTCTTCTGACCCTCAGTCAGGACTCTTTCCTCTTGGCTGGGCTGCCTCCCCCTTTCATGGCCCTGGGAGGTCGTTCTTTTAGATCCAGACCCTTGCTCTCCTCTTGCTTCTCTGGGGCCTCTCTTTCCTTTAGCCATGTTTGATCTTCTTTTTGCAGGTCAAGATCACTGTCCTTGATAAAAAAAATGAGAACTGCACGGTGCCTGGCGCTTTGCCTCTTTCAGTTGTCTGTCAACCTCATGAAGTCGGCCCCAAGCCGACTCCTATTTCTGTCCATTGCTTTTGCCAAATATAGCTTTCAAAACGGTTTTTTTGACCCTCTCCTCAAAGCACACATCAAGATAAATTCCAAATGGACTAAAAAGTAAAATATAAAAATACAGCCAAAGGGAACTTTGAAGTAAGTAGAATAGAAATCACATCCCCGGAGGGAAAAGAACTTTCAAGGGGTGGACGCGCTAGGAGAAATGAGACTTAATAATTATGAAAATTTAAACTGAATTCACAACAATGAAGAGACTGGATGCCACAGAGCCTTGGAAAGTGTGTTTGGGAAATATGACAGACAAATGGTTATTGTTATGAAAGTTGACAAGAAAACCATTAGGACCCCAGCAGATAAAGGGCAGGAGACTGAGCAGATCACACAGAAGGAAATATAACTAGTAACAAAAATATGTTTAACCTTCTGGCAGTCAGAGAAGTTCATGTGTAGACAACAGGATGCCATTATCACCCACCACATCTTTAAAGAACATGTTTAAATGATCATACGTGATTCTGGCAAGAGTTCAGTGACAGGTGCTCTCAGAGGCTACTGGTCGGAGTATAAACGGGGACAAGATTTTTGGAAAGGAAATGACATTTGGCACCAATAGCCATTACCCAAAGGAAGGACAGATCGGCACACAAAGATTGTTATTAGAGTGTTAGTTAATAATGGCCAAACCCAAATATAACCTGAGGGGTCTATTATGTAAATGATAGTTCGGTGACTTGAAGGAGTGCTGTCCTCATGGCTGTCCTCACAGCCGTCCTCACGGCCGCCCCCCCCCCCCCATACTCCTTTGGTGCGGGCAAGGTTGGCAAAGCAGTGCTGGGTTCGGTGTTGGGAACGATGATTCCTCTGCCTCAGCCCATGTCTTCGGGGTTCGTTTTTCCTCTTCTGTACAGTGGGGACAGGAAAAGCTTCCCCGCGTGGCTCCCTGTCAGACTGCCCTCAGGAGCGAGCAAGACAGTACATGTGGCGACGCTGGACACAGTGTGCTCCCCCTGCAGGTGACGGTCCCCTTCTGAGAAGCGAGATTCAGCCAGGCAAGGGCCCAGGAGTGAGTGCGTCAGGGAGAGCACGGGGCCTGGGCATAGGGCAAGTGCCACTTGGGCGGGAAGGTCCAGCCACCCCATTTCTCAGCCTCCAGGACACTTAAGTAAATTTGCCTTGGACCCTAACCAGCTGCCTGTCTCAGCCTCTTGGAGATCGTAGATGAAGTTTGGGGCACAGAGAAGAGCACTGGTAGTGAGTGTGGTACAGTTGGTGAATTAAAAATAATTCAGTATAACTGGTGTGTGACATGAGTGCAGTGCCCCTGTACCGGGGCGGGAGGGCACCTGGTTCTCCTCCTGCCACATCCCTGCCATGGAGTGAAGAGGAGTAAGCAGGCCAAGAGGGAGCTGCCCCCCGCAGGCGCATCCCCAAGTGCTAGACCATTACCAGCTGCTAGAGACCTCAGAATTTCTTGCACTGGCAGTGGTCAGTCCACTTCCTTCCTCCTAAAGACAGAATCCACCTCCCTGTGCAGACCCCTAAGCCCAAGGAGGGCTGTTTGCAGGGAGGTGGAGGTGCGGGCTGGGGAGTCTGCTCACGTGTGCACAACGCTTCTCGTGGGGTGGGGTGGGGATGGGAGTGGAGAGAGAAGGGAGCCGGGCTGGGGCTGTCTCTCCTCACAGCACCACGGCTCGGCACAGATCTGCAGGAGGCCGGATTCTAAATTCAAACCTGGGTCCCCAGGTGGTTTTTCAAGGGAGAAGAGAATATATTTTTATTTAACAGCTTGGTACCTTGATTTATAACTCTCAAATATTTAGAATCCAAGATTCAGACATGTGGTATCTGGACTTCCATTTGAAATTTTGTCCCTGGCCCCACAAGCGATGGGGCTGGCCTGCATGTATGTGGGGGGCAAGGGCTGCAGATGAGGCTGAGTAGGCAGAGGACAGACGGTGAAGGGTCTTGTGACGGGTCTTTGGTATAAAGGTCACGTCAAGGAGCTCGGACTTCATCCTGTGGACTAAACAATAGCAGAAGCCAAAGAGCTGACTTGTCACCAGACATATGACACGTGTGACTTCATTGTCATAGCCCCAAAATGCCATGAAGCAGAAACTATTCTTATTTCCCCTACTCTATGGACGAGGATAATAAGACTTAGATAGGATAAAAACATAGGCCAGGAACACAGAGTGAGCAGTTAAGGTGTCAGGGTTCAAAAACAGACCTGCAGAATAATTGGGGCAGCTCAGGCCGCAAGCAGGGTGGGGTGAAGCTTGAAGGTGGGAAGCGTATGGTCGCACGGTGAACCAGCGCAGAAGCTGCAGATTTGGTAGTTGCTTAGTCCCCAGGCAGGAGGGAGAGGGCAAGGTCACGGGAGATGGATCACTAGGTTTGGGTTGCTGGGGAAGAACAGTGGTAGTGGATCCTCAGGGGAAATAGACTGGATAAGAAAACAAGCCTCTTGGGCCTGGGTTTCTTCAGCAGGGGCTGGACCACATGCTCTTGAAGGTCTCTTTTTGTATGATTGTAATCTGCATTTTGAGGGTTGGTTGTCTGGAATACTATAGAATATGTCTGCACAAAAAGAACATGGTTTATGTCTAGCAGGCACCCAAGTATTTGTGATCTTTGTGATTTGCAATCATTAGCTTTGAAGTATCTGCATCTGTAAATAGCTTCTTTTCGAGCTCTTCGTTTTGCTTCTAGTTCTGTTCCTGTGTCACCTTGCCCTCCCTCCCATTTTATATGCCATGTGTGTGAACATTTTCGGGGTATGTCTCTGTATTCTAAATAAGCACAGCAGGTATTCTAAGCCTCTTTTTTGGCTCTTGCTCACATTATAATCATCCTACCACGTATTGAGGTTTTTGTATACTACCCTGTCTTTTCCACTGAGTTACAGATTCCTGTTGGTTTAGGAAAACAAAAGCAAAAACCAGACCCACGCGCTGAATTATCCTGACAGGCTGTCTCCATGGGCAGTGGAAAGCCACTGAACATTCTAGTCCTCCTGAGAGTGTGCAGGTCAGACCTGTGCAGGGAAGGGAAGGAATTGAAGGTGGAGGTGGGCAGACCTGGTAGCTGTTGGGGTGACCCCAGGGAGAGGGGGTAGCCTGTCCCAAGGCAATAGCAGCCGGGAGCCCGAGTGAGTGCGCCCACCCTGCTCTGGGCCGCGGGACACCAGCCCAAGGTCAGCCTCTCTACTCCCAGATCTCTCATCTCCTGAGGGAGAGGGAGGAAGGGGCTGTGGAAGGAGACCTGTCCAGGGAGGCACCTTCTTCCCAGAAGCTTTCCCCATTGCTCCTGGCTGTTGCATCAGCGGGAGACTGGCGGCTGCACACCCATGAGCTGGGTCCAGGCTTGACTGAGGCAGGGACATTCCTGGAGGGGGAGGGACTCGACAAGGAATGCAGTCCACAGCTGACCTTGAGGAGAGGTTTGACCATTCTGGGGCCAGCGTCATGGGCTGGCTTTATAGGCCTCTGTGTTGTGTCCTGTGGGGCAGGGAAATGAGCTGTGAGAGGCCTGGGGCCAAATTTGGGCAAGCCTTCTGGGACAGGGCTGCGTTGTGGGGCCGGGCTTGGCAGGGTCACCCAGTGGGGGAAGGCTCCTTCGCCCACTGCCCTCCTGCAGGGAACCAGAGGGAAAAGCAGGCTTCCCCGTGTGAACGCGTGTGTGTCTGTGTACTGGCCTGCGTGGCATCCGGCGTTTCCGACCACACCCTCTCCTTGCCTCTCCACTTCTGTGACACTGGCTCACAGACATAATAGACGAGACTTACTAAGCTCGCGCTATGTGCCAAACATGGTGCCAGATGCTTTTGCAAAGTGCATAGCACCTCGTACAATCCTCACAACAGTCTGGGAAGTGGGTCCTGTCATCCCTGTTAGGCCCGAGGAAGTTGAGGCTTGAAGAGATGATGTGACTGCCCCCAGGTCACACACGTGTCGAATCAGGATGCGAACCCCGGTTTTCCAGACTTCAAGGCTCCTGCTCTTTCACTCGCATCCCTGTCTGTCTCATGGTTCCTCTCGGTCTCCCCCAGGTGCCTCTGCTTCCACCTGCCCCCTTGACGTTGGTGGGTATGGGGTTCTCATCCCTTCTCACCTGATACCCGAGATTTTTTTTTCCTTTCCAAGTTTTTATTTAAATTCCAGTTGGTTGTCCAAAGGATACAAAAATGCTGATTCGAAGGGGCACACACATCCCAATGTTTATAGCAGCGCTATCAACAATAGCCAAAGTATGGGAAGGACCCAAATGTCCATCGACAGATGAATGGATAAAGATGTGGTATATGCATGCAATGGAACATTACTCAGAAAGAATGAAATCTTGCCATTTGCAACAATGTGGATGGAAGTAGAATGTATTATGCTAAGGGAAATAAGTCAGAAAGCTAAATATCATATGATTTCACTCATGTGGAATTTAAGAAACAAAACGGGGGAAGAGAAGGAGAAATAAGATAAAAACAGAGAGGGAGGCAAACCATAAGAGACTCTTAAATACAGAGAACAAACTGAGGGTTGCTGGAGGGGAGGTGGGAGGAGGGATGGGCTAGATGGGTGATGGGCATTAAGGAGGGCACTTGTCGGGATGAACACTGGGTGTTCCATGTAAGTGGTATGTTAACTAACTTGGATTTACATAAAATTAAAAAAAAATAAGGAACAAATGATCATAACTGACCTCAGAAATACCTGTATTATTGTCTAAAAGCAAAACAGATAGATAGATAAAATTCCAGTTAGCATACAGTGTAAATTTAGTTTCGGGAGTAGAATTTAGTGATTTATCACTTACATACAGCACCTGGTGCTCATCACAAGTGCCCTCCTTAATCCCCATCACCTATTTAACCCATCCTGATACCAGAGATTCTTTTTTTTTTAAGTTTATTTATTTTTGAGAGAGACAGAGACAATGCGAGTGGGTGAGGGGCAGAGAGAGAGAGGGAGACACAGAATCCAAAGCTGGCTCCAGGCTCTGAGCTTTCAGTGCGGAGCCCCACGCGGGGCTCAAACTCATGAGCTATGAGATCATGACCTGAGCCAAAGTCGGTCGCTCAACCGACTGAGCCACCCAGGCGCCCCACGATACCAGAGATTCTTAATCAGAAGTCAGCAGATCCCTTGAGTTCGGGGATTCTGTGAACCTCTGCAAGGGTTGCAAAATGTAATGTGTATGTGCCTGTATATGTTTTTCTGAGAAGAGAAGCCATAGCTTCTATTTTAGGAGACAGGCTGGTACTTGATATTTTATGGCTGGGGAAACACCGAAATACCCAAATCATATCTTAGTCTTATTGTTCCTCCTTTCCCTGAAATTCCTAAGGAGACTCTGCCTCAGGACAGTGACAGATGGGGAAAAATAAAACAGAGCCACTGACTTGTTCCGTATGCCAGTTCCCAGGGCTCTCACGCAGGGCTCCCTGGGACTTGAGACCAAGTGCAGGCCTCCTGTCCCTGTGGGACCTACATTTTTCCCCTGAGGCAGGGAGCAGAGGCCAAGATCAGGAGCTGGGCCTGTGCTGCATGGGAGCAGGGAGTCAAAAAGAGAGGTGTGTGTGTGTGTGTGTGTGTGTGTGTGTGTGTGTGAGAGAGAGAGACTTTTTGCCTTATCCCAGTAAATGTGACACATTCAGTACCCTCAAACCTAAGTGGCCAGGTCAGCTGCTCCTCCTCCCCGCTGAAGCTTTTATCAGATTTTCACAGAGGGTTTGAGGTGATAAGCTCATTTGCCAGTTTTGCATAGTGGTCACATATGGGGCTTCAGACGTTTCAGAGAGGGTGTCATGGAGAGAGCCAGATTCTGAAGTTGGATCCAGCCAGACCATTTCCTCGCCTCTCTGGGCCCCACTGCCCTCCGTGAAATGGGATGTGGGGCACCAACCAGGTGACCCCTACTCACCCCAGAGCTGCTGGAGGCAGAGGGGAGGTCTCATTCCTCCTCAGCTCCAGGCCCCAGACTTCCTGAGGTGGGAATGGTAGTGATGGTGATAAATAGCGTGGAGAAAGAACGCCCATCTTGGTTTTATGACATTCGGGTTTGAGTATTGGCCCAGCCACTTGTGTGACCTTGAGCATGCTACTTTGTCTTGGGATCTGTAGCTGTGAAGTGGGGGAGAATGGAGGAGATACAAATCAAGTAATGTCTGTGAAAACTAGCCTGGAGCCTCGCACACCCCAGGCTGTGCCTGTTCCTGGCTCTCCCAAGCAGCCCCTGTGCCCTCTGCTCTTCACGTGTGGGGGACAGGCACGGGCAGAAACCCCGGGGGAAGAACTCTTGGAGCCTGCCAGGCTCCGCAGAGGGGACAGGGGCCTGGCACAGGCTGGCACCTGCCATTCCTTTCAGTCCACACCTGGCCCTCCCAGGAGCGGTTCCTCCCCAGGTCTGCGTAAGATCTGGCCCATGTCCACACTTCCCTTTCCTACTGGGTACTGTATCTGACCTTGGGTCTGTGGGATTCTAAGAAGATAGAATTGAAAGAAGCAGATGACCAAGTAAGCCAGGATGGGCTGAAGATACGAAGAATTCAATGTGGATTCCTGATGTTCTGGTTTGGAAGATGGGTGGATAGTAGAAGAGAGAACACAGAAGGCAGAGCAGATCTGGAGAAACCAGAAGAAACCAGGTCCGTGTCCAGCAACAGCGGATTGGTTAAATAAGTTACAGTGCATCTTAGTGACACAATTCTTAGAAAACATACTTTTGATGTCTATAACATTGAGTTATACAGATGTATCATTTAATCGAACCTCTGTTGTAAGCCTCTGGATTTTTTTTTCACTTTTATGAAGAACACTGTAATAAACACCTTTTTCCAAAGGTCTTCACCATTCTGACTACTTTTAGAAGAGAAATATTGCAGTCAGCGGATATAAAAACAACTTTGAGGGGCGCCTGGGTGGCGCAGTCGGTTAAGCGTCCGACTTCAGCCAGGTCACGATCTCGTGGTCCGTGAGTTCGAGCCCCGCGTCGGGCTCTGGGCTGATGGCTCAGAGCCTGGAGCCTGTTTCCGATTCTGTGTCTCCCTCTCTCTCTGTCCCAAAAATAAATAAACGTTGAAAAAAAAATTAAAAAAAAAAAACAACCCAACTTTGAGGCTTTTGATACATATTGTCAGATTGCCTTTAATTTTTTATTTATTTTGAGAGAGAGCAAGAGCGTGCATATAAGCAGGGGAGGGACAGAGAAAGAGGGAGAGAGAGAATCCCAAGCAGGCTCCGCACTGTCAGCAGTGTCCAACGTGAGATCTCGCTGTGAGATCATGACCTGAGCTGAAATTAGGGGTCAGCCACCTAACCCACTGAGCCACCCAGGTGCCTCTCACATCTTTTAGAAAGGCTCTACCAATTTTACTCCTATAGCAATACCGGAGAATTCTACCTAGGTGTGCATTCCACCACAAAGCGCCAGGATACATACACAGAGACACATACACATGCATACACATACTTTAGAGGGTAACATATATATTGCTCTACTTCTGGGCTGTCTTGTTTCACGGATCTTTGTGTCACACACAGATTCTTATACATGTATCCCATATCTTAATAATTGCAATTTCATAATATATTCTTAACATCTTATTTATTTGTTTATTTAGAGAGAATGAGCAGGGGAGGGGGCGTAGGGAGAGAATCTCAAGCAGGCTCCAGGCTCAGTGCAGAGCCCGACAGGGGGCTCGATCCCACAACCCAGGGATCATGACCTGAGCTAAAGTCAAGAGTTGGATGCTCAACCAACTGAGCCACCTAGGCACCCCTGTTAATATCTAATTTTTAAATTTGGGGGCTATTTTACCTGTTGAATATTTTGGGTGGGTTTTTAGAATCCTTTTGGTAAATTTCAAAAGCCCTGTTGGGATTTTTCTTAGACTTCTGTTAGGCCTTCATTTATCAGGGAGGGTGTGCCATTGTGTTAATATTCAGCCTTCCAGTCTAAAAACATGGTTTATCTCCAATTTTTTTTCAAGTCCTCTTTTTATATCTCTCGATAAAGGATTGTAGTGGTTTTTTTTTTTAATTATAGTTAAATTTATTACTCAGTTTTGATGATTTTGTTAGGATTGCAGATGGGATCTCCTTTGTATTGTATCTGGTGACTGTTTTCTGTTGGAGTACAGATCCCATTACTAAATTATTCTGTGCCTTCTAAGTTTAGTTGATTGTTTTAGGTTTTCTAGGCGAATAACAAACACCCTGAAATAGTAGGTTAGAGTCCATGGTTTGGTAATGCCTCCAGTCTGCAGGATTACTGTGACTCTCTCCAGCAGTACTGAAGCCCAGTTGTAAGGGTGGAAAAGGTGGGTGAATGGACTGAGCCCAAGTTCAGGGTTTCCCTAGGCTGGGGCAATCGAAGAGCAAGGGGGCAGGGGACTGAGGGAGCTCACAAGAGAGCTGGTGTGATCTACTTCAGGGACTAGACCAGGAAGGGGTCGTGTACTGAACAGAAATGCAGGGCTGGGAACTGGAAGAAGGGAGAGAGTCAGGAGATGAAGGTGTGGCCTTGGAATGGATGCTGGGATGTCGCGTTTCAGAGCTGATGCCTTTCCCATATGGGACTGCACTCCCTGAGATCTCCACCTTGCTGTTAAAGAAACTGAGGTTCAGAGAGCTTGCGACTTGCCTAACGTCATCCGCCGCTAATCAGTGGCATACTATGTTCCTCTGTGCCTTACTAGCTCACGTTCTGTCCTTATTTTTCAGGCTCACTTTAGAACAGTTGACTGAAAGCAGGGAGACAGCAGAAGGGAAAGGAGGAGAGCCCAGCAGAGCAGATAGAAGAGAGAGGGCAGGGTCCTCGTGGGCCCCTCAGCTAGTTGCGAAGGGCAGGGGACAACTGGCCCACTGGGTCTTCGTGCTGATCCAAGAATCCCCTCGGACGGGAACAGCACACCCCAGTGCCCCACGCTGTGTGCCCCTGCCCTGCAGTTCACTCTGTGTCCACCATCATACACCGTGGCCCCACCATGTGCTCTCTGTTCCCCACCACCTCCTCTTGTGACTGTCATACATCCCGTGTCCCCCGGCCACACACACACACACACACACACACACACCAGGTCATCCCTCTACCACGGTGTTTATTCCACACAGGCCCCACCTTGTTTCTCATTTGCCTGTACACACTTGGGGTCTGGCCACACACGCACGCGGCCCCATCGCAAGCTGTGTGCCCAGCTCATGCCCACTTATGCTGTGTCTACAGAGTGCGTCGGATGGCTTCTGGAAATCTGTGGCCACTCGAGTGCCCAAGGAGCCCCCTGAGATTCGCATCCTCAACCCATATTTCATCCAGGAGGCCGCCTTCACCCTCATCGGACTGCCCTTCAACAACGGCCTCATGGGCCGCGGGGTGAGAGAGTGGGGCCCCGGGAGAGGGCAGAGGGGAGCTGGGTCAGAGATGCTGTGGGAGGGGAGGACCGGGTGGCAGGGTGAGGGGCAGAGGGCTTGTTCCTCAGAAATGGAACTCAGCTCTGATGAGTGTCGCTAAGGGTCTCAGCCTGACTCGGTCCTCCAGCTGAATTCTACACTTCCTCCCTCCCCTCCAGAACATCCCGACCCTTGGCAGTGTGGCAGTGACCATGGCACTACACGGCTGTGATGAGGTGGCGGTTGCAGGCTTTGGCTACGACATGAGCACACCCAATGCACCCCTGCACTACTATGAGACCGTGCGCATGGCGGCCATCAAAGAGGTGCCGGGCTGGCTGGGGGGCAGTCCCTTGGGCAGGGCCGATGGAGGGGTGTCCCAGCACAAAGGAACAGAAAGGGGTGAGCCAGCAGCTGGTCTGGCCGCCCAGAGCTCGCAAGAAGGCTCTGCCCTGCCCTTAGCTAAGTTGGATCCCTGAAGGTCCATCCCTGCATTCAGGTCTCTGACCACCGAGCGTCCTCTGTGCCCCTGAACCCGGCACTCCTTTCCTCACCCTTCTCCCCAAACTTTCCCTCCCTGACCCTCTCCCTGCCCTGGTCCTGCACCTGCCTCATCCTTGCTATTCCCAACCCTCATATGCTCATCCTGGCACCAGCTCAGGACCGTCTTCTCTACTGCAAGTCCTACCTTCCCCCCGAGGACTTTTGTGCCCCCTCAAACCACCCACAGACATTGCCTCTCAGTCCCTGTACCTCTTCTGCCCCTCCCCGCCCCGCCCTCCCCCCACGGAGGAAAGCACTGAAGCTCTCTATCGCCCAGCATTGCTTCCCAAGTGATCCCTGTATTCAGCTGCCTTAATGTTCCAGAAGCATGCCAGGTCTCCCAGGCCATCAGCCAGCCTCTTCTGATGGCATCTCTGCCTTCACACCCAGGGCCCACGTAAGCCCCTCTTACAACTCCCTCCACCTCCACCACCAGCCTTCCACTGATGCCAGCCTGGAACCTGCACATCTTGGGCCAGCACTTCGAGCAGCTTCTCTGATCCCACAAGGGAATGAGGGGTGGAGGGGGGGCTGGAAGACGCCTCCCATCTGTGCAGATTCTGTAAGTGTAGGGGTTCCCATCTCAGCCAGCCGTCCTTCTGCTCACCGCTTATTGGTGCGCCCTTCTCCAGCCCAGAGCCCTGTCCTCCCTGAAAGCTCCCCCACCCTCTTGTCCTGTGGGGAAAACGGAGGCTGCGGCAGGGACTCTGTCAGCTCCTGCCGGCTCGTGCCCGCTGCACTCCTCACTCCCTCCCAGCCTGGCTTCCTCCTCCACCTGCCATGACTCCCACTAAGGTCACCAGTGACTCACCTCAAGGCTGCCAAATCCAGTGGACACATGTTTCCTGACCTCTCAGAAACATGCTTTATGTTGACTGCTCCTTCCTCTTTGAAACTTTTCCTGCTCGGGCTTCGGAGTCAGTAATTTCTGGCGTTCTTCTGATTTCGCTCGCCAGCCTCTCTCATTCTCTTTCTCAGCGTCCTTGATTTCAGAGTCAGCATTCGCTAGGGCTCCATCCTGGACAGTCTTCTCTTTCCGTACACGTTCTGCGGGAGAGTGACACCCCCATCCGTGGCTTCAGTTGCCATCTGTATTGTTTCCTGCTTGGGGTTCACTCGGGCCACCTCAAGTAATGGGAAGTTATTGCAAGAATGTAAGAGAGACTTGGGAAACCAGAAACTGCCTTACGGCTGGGCCTCCTGTTGCCTGGAATGGGATTCAGGAATAGGGGGCCCACTTCGGGTCCAGCACAGCTCCAGAACTGTCTGTCTGACCCCATCACCTTCAGCAATGACTGGCTCCAAGCCTGCCTCCCGATTGCCAGGAGCCTGTTGGTCTTTCCATCTGTCTCTCTTCATGTATCTTCTTGCTTTTCTTGTCCCCTGCCAGCACCCATTCTGAACCACTGGCACAGCTTTTACCTGTCTCCTGGCTTCTCTTTCCTCGTATCTGTGGTCTCTTACATACTCCCTTTGTGTAAATTTTGTGTCGGCGTTTCAGGCAGAGGGTGAAAGGCTGTAGACACGGGCAGTAGCCAGGTCACTCAGGACTTTCTGTGCCATGGTGAGGAGCTTGGACTCTACTCTGAAGGCCAGAAGGAGCCATGGAAGGATTTTAGGCTGTAGATTAGCGCGTAGTAGGCCACTGCGCCTGCAGCATGAAATACAGGGGCACAGACTTCAGCACAGAGAGCAAACTGAGGGTTGCTTTGGGGGAGGTGGGTGGGGGGATGGCTAAATGGGTGATGGGCACTAAGGAGGGCATTTGTTGGGATGCACATTGGGTGTTATATGTAAGTGACGATCACTGTTCTGCTCCTGAAACCAATCAATACTACACTATATGTTAACTCACTTGAATTTGAATAAGTAATGGAAAAAAAAAAAAAAATGAGGGGCACTAGGTGGAGACAGAACTAGCTGGGAGGCTGTCACAGCAGTCTAGGCAAGAGATGAACACCCCTGACCAGGAACTTTTCAGTGTCAGTGAGAAGACAGAGAAAGAAACAGAATTTTAAATCCGCAGGGCCTGGGCTTGCCTCGGTACGGGAAGAGGGTAGAAGGGGCAGCACCTTCCCTGAAAAGCCCTCTGGTGGAGACTGTTCCCTTTCTTCAGTGCGCCAGATCTCCGTTTTCAGGCCCAACCGCCCCCGCCCAGCCCTGTGAAACAGGCTGGCTTGAGGCTCCTGGCGTCTGCCGCACCCCCTTCATGCAGGGCACTGAGGAGGTCAAGCCATGACATCAAATGGCCTGGGTTCAGAGCCTGGCTCTGTGCTTTCCTTTCCTTACCAATAAAAAGGGTAATGACAGCACCTACTGCCTTGGGGGAAGATTAGACGTGGTGATGCTTAAAAAAAAAAAAAAAAGGCCTAGCACATAGTAAGCACACATAAAGGTCCACCAGTATTACCAATATTAATGTTTTACCCCTGCTTCTCACTGTTACCTCCCAACGTCCTAGACGAGGATGCACTGGAAATGCTGGTGCCTGGGCTCAGGGTCCCTGCCGTCACCTTTAGTGTCTCCAGTAGGCAAGTGAACCAGGCAACACCCTGGCCCCACCACTGCTTCCCCTCCACTCGGCCCACGGGCCCATTCTCTAGGCCCAGCGGGAGTGTGCGGGCTGTGGAGGCCAGTGGAGCAAGGATTGCATGTTGGGGGATGTGCAAGGGGCGTCAAAGGAGTTCAGAGGGGAGAAAAGTGAAAGGACAGAAGCGATAGGAAGGTGCAGGGTCACGGATACCAAGGGAGCAGCGTTCATGGACTGTCTGCCACGTCGGGTGCTGTCGAGAAGTCCAGCAAGATGAGTACTGGGAAATAGCCAGTGGCTGCACCAGTGAGGGGGCCCCGTGGACGGTGGGGAGAGCAGCTTCCAAGGCCGGTGACCAGGAGCTAGACTGCTAGCTGAGCGGTGAGTAGAGGCGGTGCAGAGAGGACAGAGAGGCAGGCATGGTGCATAGGACGTGCTCCCGGGGAGCGTGGACGAGGAGGAGGAGAGGGACAGAGCAGCAGCTTGCCCGAGGCTTACACAGGCTCACAGAGGTCCGTGCCACCCAGCAGAGAGACCCGGTCTGGAAACGTCCTTTTGTGAGTTGTGGTCACAGCTGCCTGTTCAGATACAAAGCCAGCATGGATGGAATCGCCCAGGGAGCCGACAGGGTAGAAGTGTGGGCGGTTGGGGCAGCACTGGTGTTTAATGACTGGCTGAAGGACGGGGAGCCAGAGATGAAGACAAAAAGGGCTGTCAGAAAGACAGCTGCCTCCAGAATTCGGGGTTCTGCTGAGGCTGGGGACCCAGGACCACCAGAATTCTGCCCCAGCCCATAGACACTATAGACAACACAGTGCAGATAGTTCTGGTAAGCTCCCATGCCGTCTGATAGAAGGGAGAATGAGGAGGGATTTCCTGGTTCAAGAGAGCTACACCCCAGAGCCCACCTTTTTGTTTGCTTTTTCATTATGGACACTGTCAAACGTGTTCATAAATACAGAGAATAACGAATTGTCAAGTACCTGTCACCCACATTCCTCAATTATCAGCACAGAGCCAGTGTTTCATCCGTTTATCCCCTCATGCACCCCTCCTCGCTGATTATTTGGAAACAAGTCTCTGATATTGTATTGTTTCAGCCTTGAATATTTCAGTAACTTTCTCTAAAAGAGAAGAGATTTTGAAAAGTATTGCAATACCGCTATCACACCTTTAAAAAAATGAATAATCCCTTAACGTCATAAAAAAATGTCTAGGCTTGGGGCACCCGGCTGGCTCAGTCAAAAAAGCATGCGACCCTTGGTTTCAGGTTCATGAGTGTGGGCCCCACAATGGGGATAGAGATTACTAAAAAATAATAAACTTAAGGAAAAAAATGTCCAGTCTTCCACTGAGCTTTCAAACATTGGTGATTCCCAGTGGGTGTTCTTAAAACTAACCCATCAGATCGATTGCTTCTTGCTGGGGGTGATGGAGGGGATACGTAAGCAGAGAGCAGTGTAAGTTGCTACATTTGTTCAGATCCTGGCCCTACCATTCCTCTAAGCATCCATTTTCTTTCTTTCTTTCTTTCTTTCTTTCTTTCTTTCTTTCTTTCTTTCTTTCTT